ATTGATTTAAAAAAATATTCGTATAATCTTATAACACTTAATATACGAAAGAAGTTATAAACTTTGAGTCACCATTAAGAAAAACTGATTTTTCCATTTAAATAACGCAAATTAAAAAATTTCATTTAAAAACAGTTTTACATACAACAAAGAGTTATACGATCTCGTTTACACAATTTATCTCCTTGTATCAAGTATCTTTCGTAAAAACATCGTTTCGACAATTTCACTCCCTTCGTAACGTTTCCTTCCTATAACTTAAATAATATACAACGCGGCGTGTACAGGCCGGCGAAAAAAAAAAAAGGAAGGGATACGTGAAACAGAGTCGCGAGCCAGCTCACGAAACGATCCGTGCCGCATTAACGGCGTAATAAAAGTCGGTAACAGCATTTGATTACAGGCCGTGATCAGATTCGGGTTGATACCACGATCGTAATCTTTAAGCTGGCTCGTATAACTTATTAAATGATCGGCTTTTAGCCGTGCCTATCTCGGATACCGCCACCCGGAGTAGGTCATCTTCCGGTTAAATCTTCGACTACCTATCTCCCCCCCTCTCCTTCCTCCTTTTTCCTCCCACCGATATATCGATGAAAATGTAATAACCGAACGGAGACAAAGCAAAGGATACGTGGATCCGTGTATGAAGCACAGAGCGAGTTGAAATAGGGGACGTCGTAAAATCTTATTGTCTTAATCGTGACCGGGATGCGGGATCGGATGTCAATGGCAACCGAGCTATCGCCGCGGATCGGATCGTTCGATTGACACACGACCGATGTTACCTCGCGATCTTGTCGTTGTTCATCGATTAGACTCGATATACGAGCGATACGATCTCTTTCGTGGCTGGGGATGGTATGTCGCTTCGAAGTTCGCTTCGCTTCGAGTTTTGTTTCGGTGGTGATTGATATGTATATATATATATATGGATAATTGGAAGAGGATATATGAGATTAAATTTGTTTACATTCATATGTGTAATTGTTACATATAGATTAAAAGTTAAGTGTTATTGGTTAAGAAATGTTTATTATGATTTTATTTAGTAATATTATTGTAGTAATATGTATATAATTAATATATATATATATATAATTATATAATATAATAAATTGGATATAATTTCGTTTAGTTTCCTCAATTTTAACACGTGAAAAATATTTTCTTTCATAATTGAACAAAATTGCGAATGAAAGGTTTTTGTCTTTTAATCGTATAATTTTTAATACCGTTATTTCCCACAAAAGAGCATCAATATATTTATATATTGAG